TATAGTAACTTAATAAACAAAAGTTAAAAAAAAAATACACAAACAGTTAGGACCTAGTAAATAAATAAATAAAGTCTATCAGAATATACAGTTTTTATTAATGTTATTATTTTACATTTAACGGCGAACAAAACAATTGAATGACTAAATTAAAGTGATGAATTATTTATTGTAAAAATAGTTCTTATACATATACGTCAGAGCGGTTGTAAACAAGCATTATTATATTAACCTGTAGATACATATTCGTATACGTATTCAACATAATAATTGTTTTGTTTTAATCTACTGACATTTTTTTTACAAAAAAAATCTTCAACTAAATTAGATCTAAGTTAAATAAATTTACAAACTAAATAGTGAGAGGGAATCAAATAATTACAATAAAGCACCTTCTTATTTGTCGAGTTGTAATAACTTCGATGACATACCATACAGCGCCGGATTAGTCAGAGCAGAATGGCTAGAAATTGCAATTTATTTACATCGTTTTCGAATATTTTCAAACAATAATTAAATTCAAATTCCAAGTATATCCGCATTTATTACAGGGCCCATCCGAGCTGGATCTTTACTGCCTAGGTGCTAATATCTGATTATATCCCAACCAAAAACCCTAGTCATGTTGCATTATAGTGTAATGGGTTAACAAGAAATATTATTTAAGAACTTTCTGTCACCATTTGATTTTATCTTATCCTCTATTATAAAGAGTATGCGGTCAGCGCATTTTGATAATTTTAAATATATTTCGTATCAGATCTGAATACTTTGAACGCCAGTTGTACAACAGTTGTATAGTTCGTTTACTTTACCGAATTCTAGTTTTGAGGCAACTAGTTATATTTTAGATTTCTATTTATATGCAATGATAAGACCAAATTGCTACTAGGTCGTGGCAGTCGAATTCCGCGGCTTACGACACTATTGTTTTTATAACTTTGAGCAACGTTATAAAGACCTTGATAATAATGACTTGAACTATTACTTTCCCCCTAATTGCACCCTTGCTTGCATTTTGGAAGTCAAGAGTTGACTGACAGTCAGTCACTGACTCGAACATAAATGTTTACTACCTCCACTGAAGTGGAGTTTGTGATGATATTAACTTCATTTAATTGGACTAGTTGGATTGCATCTCTAACGATTTTCATGTACATATTTTTTTTAACAAATTTTAGAATAGTAATGTAAAAAACGAAATATATTACCAATAAATATTCAGTTCACTCAAGTTGCAGATTTTTTCTATACTGACCGCATATAAATTTTCAACCATATTTATTATTTTTGAGAAATATATATCTCTTTGAGTATTACCACTGTCATAAATTCATCTAGACCCTGTGCTAGTAGCAAATCTACTAACACATTTAACCACCTATACATCTTTCAGATCAAACTGCTACAAACATATTTTAAGAAGACTGTAGCAAAAAAGTAAAAATTCCTACACACACACATACATATGATAGGTAACAGTTATATAAAAATTAGGTGCGCTTGCTCAAAAGAAATATTAAATCGATGGCTTAACATTAATTAATGTATCTCTATTGTAATTAAATCTAAGTACAAAAATAAAATTCGAAACAAAATTACACCTACATTAAAGCTGACAAAAATAACTTACTTGTGGTGGAAGATGCCTTACATCCTAAAATACTATTGAGAGTAATAAAATATATAAAAACAGCTGTTATATTATAACATTAAAATGCTATACTAACTCCTGTGGTAACATTAATTGAAACCGGGGTGAATTTGAAAGTAACACTGCCATTCCAGGGAGTCATTCATTAGTTGATTACCAATTAAAACAGTGCAATTACAAAATTAAGAAATATTTTAACTTACTCTTACGTAAACTTCATTTTAAATAGTAAAGACGTGCAAAAATTACAATATTATACAAAATGTATTATATGCATTTAATAAAACTACAAGTTAAGAGAACTGCTTACTATAAATATTTGACTGGGGTACAGAGAGACACCAATTAATATAAATATTGCAGTTAAAATTTATGTGCATTCGAAAATTGTCTTTATTGGTATTGTTTTTAGTACTACAGCAGCCATTCATGTAAAATAATGTATCCATATACAACACACATACTTGATGATCCTATATCTCATGCAACATACATAAAGTAGAAGTTTATACAAATAGTATATTACAACAAATCACTTGCATTTATTAGTATGAAACTATGCTGAATATTGTTTTACAAAAAACAATCTTACCTAACATACATATAAGATAGCATTTAATCGTGTCATGAAGCAAAATCAATCGCTGTAGTCAATTAATGATTGTAAATGGTATAAATATCACAGTGTGAGATGATATTTACAAATTAATTACATTTCATCAAACATTAATCAATTTGATAGTGAAGAAAGCTCCAAAATGATATGTATTATTTTACACCAGATGTTAATTTGTTTTGAATAAATTAATTGCAAGGACTTAGTTTTGCACAATGTGTATTTTATTTATTCATGCAAACATTGTCTGACATATTCTAGCCTATCCTTTTTTGCCACTTAAATTTGATCGACATCAAAGAAAAACACATTCAAATTAGTTCAAAATACGAATTAAACAATCAAAATCAGATTCTCCAAATCCAATACTAGAACAAAATTACTAACATTTATCAACTATCAAAATCATTTGTTCATTCATTCAGGATTAACTTTCATGTGCCGGATAATAATTATTGATTTTCAAACATCATTAAATCAAACAGGTAAATCTTAATTTTCTGATGTAAAGTATGTCTTCTTTAATAATTTTTGAGGAAGTATTAAAAAAAAAAACGAAAGCACTAAGAAAGCACCTCCACTAGATGACTCTAGCAAAAGTTGACTTCTGTAAGAAAGACCAAGTTCCTTAAACTAACATATTAAAAAACTGAAAATTAAAAAGCTCGAAACTTATATATCAATACAAATACGAAAAAGTACAAATGGAATACGAATTTTGAAAACTAATTTACTTTTAAACTTGAAAGAAAACCGGAAAGGTCGTCATGGAGAAATCAATAACGTACTGTAGTGACATCTAGTTTGATTTCGGGAACTAATGCTTTTTTTTAAATACTTCCTCATTATTTTAATCTGGATCGCACTTTTGATTTTTCCCAAAATGAGCTTACACCTATTATTTTTTTAACTGAACACGTTTTTATATAACTGGCTCAACTTACTAGTGGCAACTCTGCACTAAAGCATGGTCGCCGAACAGAGAACATTTCTTCAACACCACTCGCGCGCAAACATATTGCTATTGCGCTCGCACATATGCATGCAGCCAATTTTGTAATAGGAAAATATTTAAAATATATATCAGTGATTCCCTAAGTGGTCCAGGAGGACCCCCAGTGGTCCACGAGGGATTCAACGGGGGACTACGTTGGCGTGAAATAAAAACAATTTCCATCGTTAGATCTTCAAATTTCGGACGAATTTCGAGAATATGGTAAAAATGTAGCAGCAGGGGGTCCACCAAAACCAGTAAATTAAAAAAATGGTCTATGAGAACACATTGTTTGGGGACCTCTGATATATATCAAGCAGGTACAAGATAAACGTACGAAATTGTATCTATTAGGCGACCGTGCTATAGGCATTAATCTTTCATTCATTTGGATGGTGGATATGTGTGATGGCATGTCATAGTGACAATAAGGTTTTAATACTGCATAAATTCTGGCCCATTACTATTGGAGGGTACTTCTATTCTAGTCATTAATTATAGCAATACATACATTGTAGCTACCAAGATATTGAGTTGCAAGAAGTTGTTATCGAGAACCACATCATCAGTTTATTAAAAAAAGGCTACATTTCTGCAATCTATTTTGAACGTAACATAAACAGATTAAGGCTCAAAATCGATTGGGCGTTATGTAGTAATAATATGACATGCTGTTTAGTATACATTTTAGTTTTTCCTTTTGTACCAATACAGTTAGATAGTCCAATTATGAATGTGCAGTAAATATAGATGTGTATTTTCTTTTAAATATTTAATAATTTGAAGTTCACCTATATTTGATTATTATACATACATTTGTAACGAAAGGCACTGCCTCTAAGATAGCTAACGCCATTAACGGATCGATTGTTATCATATATAACTTACGTCGTATAAGTCTACTCTAATTAAGTTGCTACAAATTTAAGTAGTTACCAAAATATTTGAACCCAGCATTGGATTTAGACTATAGATAATGACCATCATGTGTTCAGTTATTGCTATTTCATGGTACTGCATCTACTGTTTGTTAAAAAGTACGCGTAATTTCTTCACGTTATTAAATGTTCTATGACTTGGCATCAAATTCTGAAAATCTTATTTCAGTAAATAAATCAATTTATAAATTAATCAATTTATTAACTTTGTGTAGCCTTTGCCTGCATTTAAACCAGGCTTATATCCATCCAGAAAACTGTACTGGTACTGTACTGTATGGTAAAATATTATTTTATAATTAATACATCACATGGTTCCAGAGATTATATTATAGCCCGCATACATACAAAACATCAAAAGCATCGTCCCTATATAACAGTATAAGTTGTCATGATTAATGTTACAAACAAAAATTATACTTTATATTATATTTAATATATTTTTGCATTCATAATGCTATACTGATATTTATGTTACAGAGAAACCTTTTGCATTGTTTTATCAAAACAATAAATTATCAAATATAATAAAAAGAATACATTTTCATTTTGAACGAAAATAAAAATATCTGACCATATATGAAAAATACGCTCTCTAGAAGCTAAAGTATTTGATAAATTCGAAAGTCTCTTTAAGGGTACAAGTCTCTCGAGCATATGAGACAGTAGAATTTTTCAATGAGTTTGTATAATTTCAATACCTTACCTCATAGTACACTCGGGAAGGTCCTCAGATAAATAGCACTGAACTTAATCCGTTAACACTACACTTCACAGTCCTTGTTTGCGCGTGTGACGTCACGTGTGTTGCGCTAGTAGCGCGTCAAGTTGACTCTGCGTGTCCTGTTGCTGTTGTGTTTGTTGTCTTTGTTGATGTTGCGCCTGCGCAGCCGCTAATGAGGACACCACATGCTCAGGTATGTTGATCTGTACTGGCACGTTAGAACTTGTCGGTACCTGTAAGGTAAATGTTCCATAAGTTTATGTCATTATCATCAGCCATTTTACGTTGCCATAGCAGGGGCTCAGGCAGTGGCGTAGCTAGGTAACCTAGGGCCCTGGGGCAAATAAAAAAATGGGGCCCACTGCTATCAAAACTGGTAAGGTTTTTTGAAGTAAAATCATTAAATATACAAATACTTTAAAAATGCTAAGCAACTTTATCGACAGCTCTTTTTCGTGCATGGACCCAGGTCATAAAACTATTAAACAATAACAACATAAATTACAATTATTTTTTTACTTGGTGTAGGTATTGGGAAATAAAACGAAATAGAAAAGATTCAAGGGTTTATTATATATTTATTTATTCAAAGATACGTTGCACCAGCTTACTGTTATTTAGCCTATCGCCATGCAAACTATTTATAAAAATTATCAATAGAAATATTTTGTCCAGAATAACTTGCAGAAGGCTGACTAAAAGAACTTGTCAATTTTTGTGTACTTTCTTCTCTTTCTTGGCGTTGTTTGCGTTTAAATGCACCACTGGATTTCTTTTTTTTTGCCCGTAACATTTGTTTTCTAATTATTTTTGCAATATTTATGTAAGATTGTACTCAAGTAGGTACTCACTGTTCACTGACAACGTTACAAGTAAAAGGAAAGCGAAACGTAATGATACGATACAAGACGTCGTTGGGGAATCCCCGGCAAACATTTTATCGCCGCCAGTGTTACCACATTTGACGTTTTAAAAAACATCACATAATTAATGGACGGCCCCTTACCCCATGTGACTTGTATTTTGAGTTATATAGTGAGTAGCCGAAATCTATAGATTTCTTTACGTAACTATGTATATGTACTATTGATAATCAAATAAAATTGAACTTTTGTATGGACCAGTACAAGAAATGTATTGACATACGCTTCCTTACTCCTGATACATTAACTTTTTAACCATTCTCGAAAAAAATCTTGACCCGAAGTTCACAATCGCGAATCATAAAAACGCATATTGATAAATAATAATATGCAAAACATTAATAACACTGTCAACCCACACAAATAATTTAGGGGAATTCCCTTTTTATAACTTTGGATTTTCTTTGAACAACTTGAGTTGCCATGATTAAACTAGAGTTGTCACCTGTCATATTTATTTTGAAAAAGGGAGAAGTTTTCAAAAGTTAATTTCGATTGAGATTTTCTGGTAAAGATTCGAGGGCCCCCTGAGCTTGAGGGCCCCGGGGCACTGCCCCGCCTAGCCCCTTGGTAGCTACGCCACTGGGCTCAGGCCTTCCTTGTAGATGGTTAAGGAGGATGGGCCATGACCCACCACGCTGACCTAATGCGGATTGAGGGGTATTAACGACTTCAAATGCAGCCGGAACGAACGAGTTAAAGGACCAACGGCTTAACGTGCCTTCTGAAGCACAGAGTAGCTCAAGATAATAATATTTTGGCCAATAATCACGTAACCGACCTTGCGAAAGTTGCTTAACAACAATGATCGTAGGCCGCGACGTTTAACCACTACGCCACCGAGCTACTTAAGTATAAATTATAAAATTAATGCTATAGTCTATGATATCAAAAAGACACTAATGCTTTAAAATCTTTCACTCTGACGTTAAATTGAAAGCAGTCTCCTTAATTTATATATAAAATTTTTGCAGATTTGAAGCCCTTCTTACGAGTAAATAAAAAAAATATAGTATTGAATATTAAATACTTCACTTATTTGAGTCGATAAGACCATAGAGTTCAATAAACAGATTATTAATATGTCTATATGTATAATAATGTGTTAATAATATGGGCTGACCCGCGGGCAAGTTAGATATGCGTGTCTAGCACGCAGCAGATTTTGTAAAAAGTCTATTACTGAATGGTACCCCAGAGAGAGGATGCGCGGAAAGGGAAGGCCAACAAAAATATAGGAGGATGATCTGCTAAAGGGTTGGAGGAAAACTCACGATCCGAAGGAATGGTGAACCATGTCGGAGGACAACATGACCAGTAAAGGACGCTGCTGATCAAAAATAAAAAAAAAGTATATTTTTAAATACTTTTTTTATATGGATGCAATCTCTGAAATAAATTACTATTATTATTATTAAAACTAAACCAATATAGCAAACACGTAGTAACCTGCAAAACCAAAATGGATATTTAGAGTGGAAAATCTTTACATTTTCCAAAAAAAATATCTTATTTCCGTATAAATTGATTAAGGAACACCTTGTTTGTTACCATGGACGTTTATAGGAATTATTTATGGAAAAAAATAAAAGTTTTTCTGCTCTTAAGAACAATTTTGGTTTTGCCTGTTAGCTTTGCAGTGTCTATATTATTATTAAGGAGGATGGTCTGAGAATTAAGGCTTCTTTTTTTAATTTATTTACTCACATGTATGGTGATCTCGGGCAAGAGCGTGTTGGAGGGCAGCGTGGCGGTGAGGTTGGGGGGCGGGGGGGCAGCGGGCTTCAGCTCCACGTCCGCGTTGGCCTCGTCACGCGCGCGCTTGCTCTCATGCGATCGCGTATGTTTACGTAAATGATCTTTACGGTAGAATCCTGGCGTACAAACAAAATAATTGGTAAGTAAAGTTGCCATGGCCAACAGTCGGTTACTAAATTGAGAAAAAGTGCAAAATATCGAATGATTATTCTCGAAAACTTGAGCTTTTTGCGTTTCACAAGTCAAAAAGTCTTAGTTTAATCAATGCTGATCGTATGTCTTCATGAATTAACCAAGCATTGGTAATCATATTGTAAAATTATTACTTTAGTCTCTGTTAGAAGCGTTGATGTTGAATGGATTGGTGTATTTTATTTTTAAGGTTACACAACAAACGAATGAAAATGGGGTGACCTCGCATCAGAAATCAAAGGACTATATACGATTTATTACATCCCTTAGTTACATACCTAGAGATATAATTATATACGGTAACATGATTATATGAAAGCAATTTATTACTATTTCAAAAGGCTATTCTTTGGTTTTATGTATATTTCGCAGGATTATGATAAAGACAGGACAGAACAACCATTTCATAAAATGGCCGGCAATATCGCCTAACGATCTTGCTATAACTCTAGCCATAGCTATACATTCTAATGATTCTATCAAAGACTGTTAAATTTTATTATAAAATGTTTTTGTTTTATTATTGTCATATGTAATTGATGCTTATGGTTGTTTTAATTTACTGAATTATTAAAGTTAATACTAAATTTACAAAATGTTGAATTAAGACAAACAAAGCTATTTCAATAAGAAAAATTTACCAAAGAGTTTAAATGTATAAATAATAAAAAAACTTCTAATTCAAAAGAATACCAACAGATTTTTTGATAAAAACAAAACTTTTTTGTGACTATAGCTAGAATTAGAGTTCACAAAAATCCGATATCACTCCATAGTGTAAAACAAAGCCGCGTTCTCTGTCCCTATATCCCTATGTATGCGTAAATCTGTAAAACTACGCAACGGATTTTGAAATGGTTTTTTTTCATAGATAGGGTGATTCAAAAGGAATGTTTTTATGTATAAGACAAGACCACGCGGGCGAAGTCGTGGAAAGCTAGTTTATAATAAATATCAAAATATCTGATATTTCTCTGATATATATCATGCATATGAAAAGCTAAGATTTCTTAGCTACTGCTGGATTTATTTATTTATAAATTAATTAAAAAGTATTATGCGTGCGAGTATTTCCAATAACGTATCCAGGAAAACTCGAAATTTCTAACTAGATTGTTACTTTGGGCCAATGTTGCCAAAGTCACATCGAGTTAGTTAATTTTCTAGTTAAGACTCATTACCAGAGGTCGGAATTAGGTAGAGTTATTTATGTACTTGCATCGAAATGTTGATATTAATGTGGACCTTCGTGGCAACATCGCGCGTGTTGGTATTTTGCAACTTTGGACATCCGATGTCATTGATGTAAGTTTGGCAACGCCGTACGTGCAGTAGTTTAAATTGTGTAAAAGTAAATAACTTTTTATTTAAAAAATCACGATATTTTTTCTGCTCTTTAAAATTAATCTCGGGGTTTGAGGCATATCCACTTTATTCTTTCGCTGTATGAAATCAGTGTAAGTACATGAATAACTACCTAATTCCGAACACTGCTCATTACTCAAATCAACAATAAATATTATATCATAACAATAAATATCATCAGCAAACCCTGGCTGGAATCAAGGCTATAGAACTGGGCGGTCGCTGTGCTGACCACGGCATATACAAACGATAATTACCTTTGCCACATTCACCGCACAGTTCAGTTTTAACGCCGGAGTGTATGACCGTGTGCAGGTTGAGGTGTTCCCGCCGCTTGAAGCCTTTCCGGCAAACGCTGCACACGTACGGCCGCTCCGGGTTGTGACCGAGTTTGTGACGCTCCAAATGCTCTTTGCGTTTCAACCTGATATTAAGTACAAAAGGGAATAAGACTTCTTTTTTGTCAATTAAAAATCAAAATTTACTGAGATATATAAGGCGGAGATGATATGCAGGGTTATAGTATTAGGGGCCGTCCATAAATGACGTCACACAAAATTCATGATTTTAAAGTTAATTAACTTATGAAACAACGACATCCCTATTAGTGTTCATTTTCGAAATATCGTCGCTGGAAAGCAAACACTTAGTAACCAGCAAAACCAAAATTGGTCTTCAGAGCAGATTTTTTTTTTATTTTCTTCAATAAATAATTCCTATAAACGTCCATGGTAACACGGAAGTAAGGTATTTTTTTTTGGAAAAATATAAAGATTTTTCACTTTAAATATCCATTTTGGTTTTGCAGGTTACTAAGTGTTTGCTTTTCAGCGTCGATATCACAGAACATAGAGAGAGAATAGAAGTAGTAAGTGGGCGGGGCACGCGTCGCTGGCATATGCGCTTTTACTCATATGACGCCCTTTCCTCGGTTTTATGTTTGCCAGTCGTTCGTCAATCGTCGAGTGGTGATTTTACAGATTTTTTCTATAAAAAATGCCGTTTTGTGCTATTATCACTTGCAAAAAGCAAAGCAAAGTATACAATCTAACTAATGCAAACATTTCCTTTCACTGGTAAGTACAATTTTAGTGCTAAAATATAAAAAACGTAATAATTTGACACAATGTTAAATAAAATATACATTGATTGCTCAAACCAACATCAATGTTTCTGACCCCATTACTAAACAGCAATGTAAATCATTTTGTGCACTTTTGCAAAAAATAGTGCTGTGCCTCCATTTGTCTGAAATGTACCGATAGGCTGCTGCTGCTCGGAATCGTATTGTTAATTATATGGATCGTAATCGATAACTAAAACATATTTATTTAGAGCTTTTCTTTCATCATTTCATAACAACGTTATCGATAAATATATGCCATAATTATATAAAACTAAAAAATACTCTTTACAAGGGAAAATTATAGATGAACTGATACTGAACAAATGAAATAATGAACTGTCCAGGCACTTTTTTTACGAAGATTCGGTTAATTATTTACACGCAGATAAATATTAAAAATTACTGATGTGCTATAAATATCTAAGTTACGAAGTATATCACCGTTTTATGAACAATACATAAATTAAACGAAACTTCGTGAAAAGCTAAGAGTTGGCCTAATAGGTCTTGTTAGAAACTGGTGAAACTGGATTTCACTTATTTTGCATTACTTATATTTCAGTTTCCCTAATAACTTTACAACGGATTGCCTTGTTTACATAATTAATTTTGCCCTATCTGTTTTAGACCTAAACCTATCAAATGAATTTCAAAACAACATAATATCTATACAAACAAAAAATTATGTTTTCAACTAACGTAATATTGTTGGTGGTGTGAATTTAATTTACAAAATTAATTTTTAGGCGTCAATTTAATTTACCTTATTATGCTGATTCATAATCGGAAACTATTATTATAGAAATCGAGTTAAGAAAGCCACTTTAAAGAACCGCCTACAGATCAGCTTTTATCAGTTTTTTTGTTGCTCCATATTTGCACATAAGTTTATAGACGCATGTCTCAAACGGATGTGACTTTATATGTAGATTGACGTTTGTATGTACTTATCGCTTTTGTGTCTATCTTCAAACTTTTTTTGTCACGGCTTTCAAACTCATACTTGACCAGCAATTCCTTATTGTCCAGTCGTTGCAATTAATAATGTAGCTACTACTATTATTACAGATATAAAACTTAGAATAATAAAGTAAAACAAGCATAGCTATGATCAATTTATTAGTGTAATGATCATATTAGTTATTATGAAATGAAATGAAAATATTTTTATTCAAGAAGGCTATTACAAGCACTTGGAATGGCAAGTTTATATTTATTTCTACTTTTTTTTGTGAAGGAATCGTAATGTTTTCTATGTAATGCGTACATAATATTTTCATTGATGTATTGAGAGGCAACAGTCAAAATATTTATTTCTTTAAATATTTCTCTGAGAGATTCTCTAGACCGTAAATTATATATAGCGTGGAGAGCTCTCTTTTGTAGAATAATAATGCTAGCCGCAGAACCCCATAACAATAGATTATACGTCATTCATTACACTATGAAAATAACTAAAATATACCAATCTTGCCGTTTCAACATTTGTTAAGAGTCTAATTTTCTTAACAGCAAATGCTGCAGAACTCAGTCTACTTGACAAATTATCAATATACCAAAATACCAAGGAACTTTGTCGATTCCACCAACTCAACTTTTTCACTATTTACATTTATAAGTATATTAACATGCCTCACATTAGGTAATGCAAACTTTATCTATTTCGTTTTATTTGAATAAAGCTTTAAATAATTACTATCAAACCACTGTAGAAAATTGTCGAACTGAATTACATTGAACTGTTTCATAACAAAATTTAAAGCTCTTATTTTATCAACAAATATGTCACATCACTAATATGCACAATCGGAATGATACCAGTAAGAAAAAAATACAAATTAGGCTTAATGTAATTAATACAAAAATTCTGTTGTTTTCTTAATTTTTGTTTTTTTTTACACTTTCCCATGCTTAATTATATTACTGCACAGACATACGATAGAGTGTATCATTAAGTTTTCTTAGTTTTTGTACTGCGTTTCTTAAAAGATATTTTAATAAATTATGTAAGGAAAAGCCTTCATTTTTCAGTATTCACTTGGTTACAGCTTAATCTAATATTAATAGTTCGCACATATAATGATGACCCCAATTTTTTTAAATGTGCATAATCTTAAAATATTTTTTTCCTTCTGGTATCCCCATATACAGCCACGTGACAGTTCAACATTCATGTTAAAGTAAATTATTTATTATCACGTTGAATTAGAGTTTGTTTTTAATCGTGTGATTTCTTAGTTTAGTATCTTTTTGGGATTTGATTTATGTTATCGCGAACCTATCGCGTGGCGGTTTTTCATGTAGTGAACAAAATGATCATTTCATCTAATCTGTATTTGTGTGCGGAGAGGCGACACTCGGTTCCCATACTAAATTAATATCATTATACTTCTAATCTCTCTCTATGTTCTGTGGTCGATATATATATATACATTATTCTAAAGCAGTAATGTTGGTTATAAAATATATTTAATATTTTTTCAATCAGAAGCCTATTTGACCCCTTTTTTAAAGAATTTCATTGAGATTCGTTTCTTCAACTATTGCCATTTAACGCTAACTTTAATAGTGCTAAAAAGCGAGTTTTGTATTTGTAATTTACTCACCCGGCACCACATATACCGCAGATGAATCTCCTCTCTATCTTGTGTACACTAAGGTGCATTTCCAGTTGCTCCTTCTCCGGATATGCCATCTGACACTCGGGGCAACAGAACACGGTGGTGCCGTCTGAAGCGGTCGCAATCACAACCTGCCCGGGCTTCGGTCGAGCAGGACGCGGCGGCTTTTTCTTGTATTTCTTCTTCTTCTTGTTTTGCGTTATGACGATTGAGCCGTCTGCGATAAAGAAAAAAATAATGACTTTTAACAAACAAGGTTTATCATTAGAGTAAATTTACGCTGAGACTGCACTTCATCATCATCATCACCGGCCCTTTTACGTCCCCACTGCAGGGGCTCAGGCCTTCCTTATGGATGGTTAAGGAGCATGGGCCATGACTCTCCACGCTGGCCCAATACGGATTGGATGGTATTAACGACTGCAAATGCAGCCAGGACCAACGGCTTAACGTGCCTTCCGAAGCACGGAGTAGTTTGAGATATTTTTTTTGGTCACCCATCCCGTGACCGACCCTTGCGAAAGTTGCATAACGATTATGATCGCGGGCCGAGGCGCTTACCCACTACGCCACCGAGTTACTGAGACTGCACTTAGTATTAGTCAAAATTCATATTATTAAACAGAGGCTTAGCAGATGTTAACCTAGGTTCTACGGGAGTAATATTTACTACAACATGATGGTAAGTTTGCTTATTCTCTGTATAATATTAATTTGGACTAATACTAAAATTGCAATTTTAGCGTAAATTTACTCTGACGCTAAACCTCGTTTATTAAAAGTACTGCTTATGTATAAATATTAGCTTGCCGCCAGCTGCAATTGAACCATTCTGTGTATTAATGAAAACCATATTAAAATCAATGGTGCAGTTTAAAAGATCACAGCATACAGGCAATGTGACCTTTATTTATACCTGGATGATTCAAGGGAAACTGAACTTCTAGAACAACCGTCATTACCGTTCTTCAAAATAATTGAATCTGAATGATATCTAATGAATCTTCAAAAATAATTGATCCCAATAATTAATTTAATTTAAAGTTACAGTGTTTTTTATAAACGTTAGTAATTATTATTAAGTAGGTATAAGTTACCTTCATCCAACACAGCCTCAGCGATGGCGTCATCTTTTTTACCATTATCCTCTTCTTGTGCATCGGTATCCATGTGTTCGATATGTTCCACTTTCACCTCACCAGGATTCATACGCAAGAACTGCTGCAGCGACACCGGCAGCTGCTGCGTTTGCTACACAAATGAAAGGGTACAATGCAGACGTTTGTAAGTTAAAAGGGATAATGACCAGAGTTTAAAAAAAAATCCATGTAGTATATTATTCAGATAATAAAGAAATATTAGATATGTATTTTTCTCACTTCAATTTATCAAGAAATGTAATAGATAAGTTGAGGACCCCATTCTTTAACTTTAATACTTATTGTTACGTCACAACTACGTAGAAAATGTACAAAGGTGTGATATCATGCGACATTTCAACTCAATGTATTGTAAAGCCGTTGTTTATTGATTATGCAATAAAAAAAGTGTTCAATATTCTAAAATAATATACCTGACGGATAAAAAAACAAAAATTAGTCATTATCCCAATTGTCTGAATGGATAGACTTGTTGGAAATTTACCCTTCCCTACAAGTACATTTAACTCGTATGAATTAAAATGACACCTGAGGGCCTATTCTATTTGTCTTCAAACGGAAAGTTCGAAAAATTTTGAATCATTATGATTTTGTTTAAATAATATTTGTAAAGATTATTTGTGCATCAGAGGCAGTGTCATGTCCCACCTTCATTTAATCATAAATTATCAAGTTTGCATGAAATGTACTAAAATGTTATAAAATAGACGAAAAATTTTTTTCGGAAAAATACAATACGCCTTTAAGTGTCACGTGCGAGTAGAATCTTAACAAATCCATTTACAATTATAATCCTTACATTATCCCTACTGAGTATAGGCTATAGAATATTTTCAAACATGTCAGGGATCCATATAAAAACTTGGATACCCGTGCGAAGTCAGGGCGGGCCGCTAATGTTATAAAATTTGTGTCCGTATTATATTGTACCTGTGGTGGCAGAGTATTGAGATACTTGATAAGATCTTGCTGGCTGCTGGTGCTCAACTGCCACGATGAGGAGTCACTTGCTTCAGTGCCCTGAGAACTCTCCTGAAACAATTATAAATTGGTCAAGTTAGAATATAATCAAACGCTAACAAGCTATATTTTAACATTCCTTAGAAAAAATACTTCTTGGCTGCTACACACAGAGGGGCCGGGTTTACATATAAGAATGAATATATTTTAGAGAAACATAGACAAAATAGTATAGATATCAGTAATATTGAAAGGGAAGCATCGACGTTAAAAATTATTTTTTATTAATATTATACTAATATGTAGACAGTATACAAAAATACCGATAGTCACACTTTTCACCACCAGCCCTTTTACGTCCCCACTGCAGGGGCTCAGGCCTTCCTTATGGATGGTTAAGGAGGATGGGCCATGACCCTCCACGCTGGCCCAATGCGGATTGGAGGGTATTGACGACTGCAAATGCAGCCGGGACCAACGGCTTAACACTTTTATGCTTATTATATTTATAATATTGCTTAAATTAATTATAGAAAACACATATATTTTACTCATTGTCACGTTGCGCCTTTCTTACTCATATGAAAACTAAAAGAATTAAACCTTATGCGTACATAGAATACCTGTCAGATGAAATTTAAGAATAAATTTTATTTTCATTACGCCATCTTCTGTCTTGGCGTCGCTATGTTATAATATTAGTTTTAGTTTTAGAGGGGCGTCAGGAGCGTGACGTCACAGCGACGCCATGACAGAAGGTGGCGTTATGAAAATTAAATTAAATTGTAGATTTCAACTTACAGATTTCAACTTTTCAACTTACAGCGACGCCATGACAGAAGTTGGCGTTATGAAAATTAAATTAAATTTTAGATTTCAACTTATTATACGAATGACACTTTATAAATTTATCTATTGAATTTACATAAACTAGAAAAGTACTGTATTATATTTATATAAACCTTGCTCTTGAATAATTTTGCATAATGATGAAAACGGCATTAAAATCCGTTGTGAAATTGAAAAGATCTCAGCGAACAGACAATGGGAAGCGCCTTTGTTTGATATACTAAAGAGGAACAATTTGAGTGTTTGTTTGCATCTATTAGGCTTTGAAACTACTGAGCAGATTTTAAAAATTCTTTTACCTATGGGTAGCTACATCATACGGGTTGACATAGGCTATAATTTACGCGTGCAGTCGCGGGAAAACACCTAGTATACTATATATAGATTTCAAGTCATCTTTGATTATGTGTTTTTTTTAGGAAGCATGTACTCACGTCCTCGTGTACTGCATCATCACACTCCTCCTTGATGACGATGCTGATGTTGGGGTTGTTGTTGTCCGAGCTGGTGTTATTGTTTAGCACCTTGTGCTCTTCAGGGCTGTTGATTATTATCTGCTGGTTCGGCGTTATGAACACCTGGAAAGTTCGTGTACATGTCAACTTATATCACAGAACATTTCTGATGAGATAGAGATCTTATTTAATATATTCTAAAAAATATGGAACACTTTGTCGTCTAACAGACATCGCGTGCAAGTCAAATAAATACTTAAATTATGTTATGCCATTGGGAAAATATTTCCATTCGTCTAACTGTGCCCTAATGAGATAAAATAATGAGTATAGATTAATCTATACTAACATATAAAGCTGAAGAGTTTCTTTGTTTGAACGCGCTAATCTCAGGAACTACTGGTTCGAATTGAAAAATTCTTTTTGTGTTGAATAGACCATTTATCGAGGAAGGCTTAAGGCTATATAACATCACGTTGCAACTATGTATTAGGAGCGAAGAAATAATGGAAAATGCGGAAGAAGTCGCTGGTGGCCACTAGTAAAAGTATATGAAGAATATTTGTATATAAACTTGATAAAACAACTCTGTTTTGTTCAGTGCAGAGTGTCTTAAATGGAACTCGAATTGACACTGTTCTGACCATTGATCTGTCTTTTATGTCTTATCAATATCACAATGAAACGGATGAATTTTTCAAGTGCTCTTTATTAAAATAATATTAACTACATTTGACTAATTTTCTTCTTTTTCTCTGGGTGCCATCCGATAGTGCAGTTTGGCAATCATTATGGAAATTTCCAATTTGGATACAGCTAAACATCAATCGAGTGTTCTTACCGATTCATTGACATGAATTCTTAATCCATGACAGGACAGGAGAAAAATCTACTGCCTACACTTCGCTTGACCTGGACCTTAGACAATCAACTATAACTCGTACTTTTGAATAATCAAGATGTGACCCATATATTCGAATTTACGCATCTTTATCGCTGTCAGATTCCAACGATTTACCTATTCGATACAGTACTTAATTTTCTTGTTAATTTTAGAAATTTATATCGATATTTATGTCAAAAAACAATAACTAAAAAAATGTGTAATGATAAATTTCTATAAGATAAACTGTTGCACATACGTCGATTAAAGTTAAGCTCTAATTAATGACAAATTTGTATGGGTAAGGGTATCTGTGCAACTTGGCTGTAAGAATATTTATTTCTAAAAAAAAAACATATTGTGATACCTGATGCTGTGGTATAGAATCTTTGTTATCAGGCGCGTGCATTAACTGCACGTCAGGCGGCAAAGCGGCAACCACTTGTAGGCCTACGTAATATACAAGAAATATTATCACGTAAGCTGGTTTTATTTATGACAGCATTGAAGTTGAGTTAGCGCTACACGGAGAAAATGAAAATTTTCATAAAAATTACACATTTCATTAATCATTTTAATTTTTTTCTAATCTTTGGGTAGAGAAAAGTTAATTCTCATTTTAGGTCTTAGGAGTAACAATCATTAGAAGGTTCAATCACTGCTCTAATTAGAGTTAATATTACAGAAATCAGCTCAAATAGTAATAATAAAATAATTTATTTCTACAACAGTTTTGAATAATATGTATAAATTAGGCTTTTCAATTACATAATAACGAACGAACCTTCAGGTAGACCATTCTGTCCAACTAGCTGTAAGCCGCCGGCCTCGTTGGCGTCAGGTGAATACGCGACTGTGAGAACAGCTCCACCTATTAAGATAATATTATCATATAAATAAAAACCATAAATGATTAAAAAATGCAATATATGTCTGTTCCTCAGGACTTGCTTGTGTAAATTATTGTCTATGTCACCCGCATATGACGTGACATTTTTTAATTCATTATCACTACAAATCATAAGGCTAAACTACTGCACACATATTACTATAATAAAACACTATTTTTTTTATATAATATAATAGAGAAAATAACAATACCATGGGTGCATCTAGAGATATCTTTCAGGAAAGGACCAACCATATAGACAGCTGGTAGGTAAAATAATTTTGCCTAATATGTTACGGGGGTAACAATAATTAAAAGGTTAGGAACCACTGAGCATATAAGACATTTTGAGAAACATAAAATCTATAGAAAAAATTATTTGTTTTGCCTTTGAGAAAACTAAAAGGCACTTGTTAAACCTTAAAACTTGTAATACGAAAGTGAATAAATCTTTACTTACCTTGTTGGAAACCTTGTATAGGTATTTGCATGTGGTACTTTGGTTGTTGCTGCATTGTCAAGTTAGGGTTGAGGACCTGAATTTGTACGGTCTGCTGCGGGTCACCTGCGAAACATCACATCATTTATTATATTTATACCACAAAGGGTAAATTTTATCAATTCTCATATAAGATGAATTTCAAGGCCTCAATTCTGTTAAATTGCAGTTTGCCATTGTAGTATCTACTATTTTTTATGCGACGGGGAAATACTTTTAGCACAGTCCCTGCCACTTGGCGAGCAACACAGACTCTCCTCAATCACGAGAGGCCTACACACTGAAACCCCTACAGTGTTCCTCTGCTGGGGAATGAGACCTGGGACGCCATGGTCGAGTCCCCAGGATACTCACCCTCATTTTACAAAAGAATTTTACCCGAAGCCCAATATTACTAGTGAAATATGTTCTTCATAAATCAATGGTGCCCAATGTTATTTTGTGATCTATTGACGAGAACTGTGTAAAAACAATTCTTATTTAAGTGCCATTACTCGCCATAATTAAATTAACTTTAGCAGAATTAGGATCCAAATATCGCATCATACAGACAGGTGATGATTCTTATATTTCAGTTCCCCGGTTGGGTTCCCAATTTAGAATTTTATTTCTTTGGGTGTCGTTGTACCTTTTTTGTTTTAGATTAGCACAATACATGCTTTTTAATTTGGGATCTAAGCTACAAATGTGAAGTTGTCACAAAAAAAGTGAAAAGGAAGAAATTGTTAACATATTTTTTGTGATTTTTTGGTTGGTGATGTCAGAAGACATAAAGCAAAGCGTATAAAAAACAGAATTATAAATGTCAAGGAAGTGAAATTCGTGTAAACACGACCGTGTCTGTGGCAATGTGAAGTTATAGTGTAGATCACTGATTTGATTGCATCAGCTATTCTGTGACAAAGAATTTAATAATTAAGATCAAATCACATAACGTCAAAAACAAATGCAAAACGACACTATAATAATCAGTACCATTAACAAATAAACACTGGTTGACGAGTACACTTATTGAGTTGGTTGTGATCACACACAATTTTTTTTAATGTTTTCGGTTGTTATTATTAAGTTTTGTTGTTACTTGTTATGGTTCACTAAAATAGCAACTGCTACTATGATTTTCACAATATGTAAATATGAATTCATTAAAAATGTGTATATCTAATGTCTCTAATTTTATAATTACTTTAGAGATGTTTTGAAAGTCGTTATCAACTCTGGTAATCGTATTATTACAAAGTAAATGTTATTTTTATTCATATTTTTGTTATTCATATCTCTTATCTCACATTTGCCTTGTTACTGACATAGACTACCATTGATTACAAAAAATGACACATTTAACATTTAAAAAATTCTAGAAATTTGGCCTCAGATCTGGAGAATCAAACCTAGAGTAAACAAATCCCTACAAATTACATTCACACTACGTAATGGCAATTGTCCGCCAGTCCAAATGGAAACCAATCCAGTCTAGTCTACTAAGCACATTGGATTGTCAGGAATTCAGAAGTACACTACTACCTTGAAATGCCCACTATCAAAGTAGGTGTTTCTAATGTGATGACCTATAACTGAATGCGTGTCTTACATCTGATTATGGCTAATGAGCCTATTGCAGATGAAGTAATAACAAAAAAAAAAGTATTTCAATTTTTAATAAATAATTTATCCCTGGCATTTTGTGTATACTTTCCATTTTCAAATGACGTCACGCGGGTGTTCCTTAGACAAGGTTCTAGCGCATAAGCAATTTATTAATACGGGGCTTTTAATAAACATCACTTAATAATAAAGCTATCTGTATTTACTTGTTACATTTGTATTGCAAGCCTTTTAAGGTTGGGGTTAAATCAGTTTTCCTAATAGAGGCAACAGTAATAAAGGTTAGGTTAGGTGACTGGTGACGATGCTTGTAGATATAAGATGCAGAAGAGTTTTATTACCAGGCTTGGCTCCAGGTAACGATATAGGGACTGATATAAGCTGCGGCGCCGCTTGCAGACCACCTTCAATAGTACGCACGTACTGGACACCATCACTCAATCCTACACCACCCACCATTCCAACCACCTGAAAATTCACATACAAATTTAAATATATCATTTATTTATCTAAAAAGAAAAGCTGTGAGTAAGGAAAATGCTTACATAATACAGATTACCATTTAAAATATGCTTACTAACTAGCCTTACAGATGTCCAGAGGCCTAAGTTTATTGATACATTATATATTTTTAATTTGAAATATTAAAAATATATAATGTATCAATAAGCTTATTGATAAATTAAAAAGTAACAAAATTATATTAACAGATTAAGATATCAACTTTTATTTCTTATGTAGCTTTATGATATATCAATAAATTTAAAAAATACATATATTATGCTGACTATAATAAATCACCTGAAAATTATTTAATACCTTCAAATTGATGAAGATAAATTTATGTATTTTCAATCAATAGAATTTATTAATGTCTAATTACCTGTGATAGTGTATTGCCATTATTCGAAATGTTTGGTTGTAATTTTGCAACAGGTATTTGACCACCCGTAGTCACAAAGTGGGTGCCAGTGGCACCCATTGTTGAGAATGCTGCAAAATTCATCTCAGAATCTTCCTCACTGTTGAAAAAATCACAAATTAATATTTCTAATAGAGACCATGCTCATTTTTATATGTCAATGACTTTTAACATATAAGTCTGTGACTCTCTCTTTTTACATCTATATCATCCTGATAGAATGTTAGATGTGGTGATTCTATAAAACAATATTAAATAAAAAAAGTCACTAATGTCATACATTGCAAATATTTTGCTTTGAATTTGCATGAAAGTGAAAGTTCTTCATGTATTGCCTGTGTTAGGTAATGTAACTATTATTGCAATACATAAAAAAACTTTCTACTTTTTGCAATTTGATATGTGTACCCTCATAATTGATTGAATGATTTTAGTTTCAAATTTAATAAATAAAAAAAAGAATATTTGTTATATTACAATTAATATCAGAAATATTTAAGTATAACTTTAATAATGACATTTGAAGAGTCTTTTAGAGAATAAGAGATGGTTGTATGAATTCCTATCGAAATTACTACAAATAATTGTTACTTGTTTGTTTATGGAAATTATTTGCAAATCACTTTCCCATACCAAGAGGCATCCTCTCTAGTAGGCATATTCTGCATGTCACACATCGTTCCCTCCACACCGCCGACACGGCGCGGGGCAAAAAAACAATAAAAAACAAAGTCCCACTTTTCTCATTCACAAAACACCCGCGACTATCCCCACGTCCCTTCCCACCACACGGGACTGTACTGGGACTACAATGGTAGGGCACATACCACTACCGACCACCAAACGCACAACACTAAAAATTAATTCAACAACGGTGAGAGGCGAAAGACGATCGCGTACTACTAATAAGAAAGTAGGTTAAAGAAAGTTTTTTATGCAGAGCCGATAGTCAACCAACAAGTTGACTATACACACGGCAAGTGATCTCTGTATATGTGAATGTTCTAACGTGATCCTCACTTTCTCTTTACTGTACTTTCACAAGATACATGTTGAGGTGCAGTTGTGGTTCAATGAATGTGAGAGAGTTTATTGTAATGATCAAATAGTAGCAAGTGCTTGTAATATATATATTTTTTTATCAAAATTTTATATTCACTTTAATAGGTACACTAATTTAGTAATGTGAAATGTACACTAATTTTGAGACTTATTTTGAGATATATATTCGGTTTTAAATACATATCAAAATATCAATGGGTAAGTAAAAATATAAAAAAGTACAAACTTTAATGACAATAAAAGTACAATAGCGTTTTTGGATATGAAGCAATCATTAGTAATTTTTATTTATAGTTCATAATAGTGTTGATTATTGACTAAAAAGTTACATTATTAGAACAGATAATTCATATTAGTGTCAATATGTGAATGATGAAAGAAATCCTGAAAAGAGACTATTCTCTCAGTGAATATACTTGAGAAAACCTTGAGACATTAAATAACGCTTTCTATTTTGCTCTGAGAATTTTGAGGACAAAGGAATACCAACTAAAATGGCCGGATTTTGTTAGTTACGCAATTACCTCTGAAGCAGAACTAAAAATCATCAAATTCATATTTTTAACAGGACCTCCGCCGATTGAGGTCTCAAACAAAGATCGAAGGTTGTTCACCCCTACCAGTTGAACTTCCCCGCTGAACGTCCATCACGCACAACGCGACGCATCCCCACCAAGGTGCAAGATCCCCTCCATGTGCCTTCCACACACCAAAATCACTCCCGCTCCCGACTCCTTCCTCCACTGGCAGGAAAATAGCGAGAGGAGGGGTTGATACGAACGCGGCACTCTTAAGACAGCACTGTGCTTTGACCGCCACGCGCTTGGATAACGGTAAATCGGAATACCGCTTTGGAAAATAAGGTCACGGATATTCACACAAATAAACGTTACACTTACCTTTATCGAAAGCTTATTCACTGTACGCAGATAATTTATTAATTACATTACACTAAATTACTATTTAATGAGTGCCAAGAATTTTATGTAAAGAAGCCAAGGTCCCTCTCTTTTGGCATTACAACGAAATGAAATCCGCCATAGTTGTTTTTGTTGCTAACATGATTTATCACCAGATGGCGTAGGTTGTGCATTGTCATGATTGGCCGAAACTACGTCATATTTTGACACTAAGGAAATAAAGCCATCCTTTTCTGTCATCATGCATGTACAGTCAACGGAATGTTATACATAACTGTCATAATTCTCCATTTTTATTTTTAATAGCTTAGTAATTAAGTTCAAATCGATTGTGGAAATTAGAAATTTTGTGGCAAATGAATGTGATGCAGTATGTACCAATCAATGTGTTCTTGAGAAATGAAAACGAGCGTTTTAAATCCTCATTTATTTTTCAATATAAATTAGTAATTTAATACACTCTAATACAGTGGGCACATTAATAATATAAAGGTACACAGGACTTACAACTAGAGTACATCTAAAATGGATATTGCTGTCCAGATCTTTGTATTCTTTCCAAATGTAATTCAAATAGTAGTTTATTATCATAATAATAATTGCTCTGAGAAGAATTTATGCCAGGATCATAGCTAGGTCTTCTATCAGAGTCTGATGAAGAACTGGGAGATGAAATACCAGATTCCATGTTAATTCCATTGACTTGACTAGAATTGGTGTTTTGTGGTAAACTTGTAGTGCCAAGATTGTTATTTATATGAAGATTATTAATTCGCTTCGACAACGGCATAAATTCACAGGTGTCATCTTCTCGAGATCGTTTCCTGGAAATAAAAGTTACATAATGTGTTAAACCTCTAGTCAATAAATACTAAACAAAAAAAGTTAAACAAAAGGATAAAATTTCATACCTATTTTCCGTCATATTTTTAAAGAAATAATTGCCATTGCTCTCAAAACAGGTGTTCCAATTCAAGGTAGAATCTTTACCAAACGTCATCTGTCCACAAAATGTCCTTTATATCAGTTTAAATCCTAATAATCTCAACAAAAATTGGTAAAAATATCATAAACACAAGATTTACAAGAAATTACAACTGACTGACACAAGTGACACAACGCAAAGCAGCTGTTTAATTTTTTTTATACAAGTGACTCCATCTACCATCGTTGTGTCCACAGACCATCAAGAAAACTACCTAGTTGTTGTGTTACACGCAGAATCGTTCTGTGTGCAGTTTAGAAAAACGAAAATTAAATCAATGTTTGTGTAAATATTTTTACTACAAAATGCATTTAAATAAAATAATAGATTTAGAATTTAACTCTCGGTCAATTAATGTAACAAAACACATGGTATTATTAGTAGGAAGGACTACCTTGACCATCTGATTTTAGCATCTATCAATAGAGGGCGCTAGATGACCCAAGGCAAGAACTACGTATCCTTCTCGACTGCCACTCCACTTGCACTGTACCACTGTAGATGAATTTCGTGTTAATTTTTTATATTTATTAAAAAAGATGAAGTAAACAGTAAATTATAGCCAGCTATAGTTTCGCTATAGACGACTGTTCGTAAGTCTGTTCGCAGTTTGGCTCAAAAACATGGCAAATTACAACTTTTTAAATATTGTAATCTTTGGTAGTATTAGTACTAAAAAGTTGTAATTTGCCATGAATATACACATTTATTACCTAAAAGTGATACAGTAAAATTTTGGAAAAAATATTTTACCTACCTTTCCTAGCGAGGATGACAATTTTTTTCGTATTCCTCATACTATGGGGCATCGTTGGATAGGTCTTTTCGTTGTTGTGTCCGTTTGTGACTTATTAAGCTAATGAGGAGGTATTTAAAAAATAAACATTAATTCCCGAAATCAAACTAGATGTCGCTACGGTACGTTCTTGATTTCTCCATGACAACTCTTCCAATTGTCTTTCATGTATAAAAATAAATTAGTTTTCAAATTCAATAAACAACTCATATTTTTATTTGTACTTTTACCTATTTTGTATAAGTTTCGAACTTTTCAAATTTCATTTTTTTATTATGTTAATTAAAAGGAACGGAAATGACTGTCTTTGGGTCCATTCGTTTCCTGCAAAAATCAACTTTTGCTAGAGTCGCCATCTAGTTGAGGTGCTTTTTTAATGCTATCGTTTTTTTTTATACTTCCTCATTATTTGTTGGAAATCGGACTATTGCAAAACGAATAGTTGTTAGGTAAAGTTTTACTCATGACAAGAAAGGTACCTATCACAAAAAATGATATGGGATACCTGCTAAGGTAACATTGCTGAATAGGCAAGCCGACGTTGTAATTGTATTACACGTTCTTAAATGGTGCCAGTTCTCCGTGCAGCAGTTATAACCAAAGAAGGTCCGAAAGAGACATCTATCTTGATATCTTATTATGGCAAACGAGAACACGATGCAAACTAAATTGACCTCATAACATCACTGATATATGAGAGGAAAACTGTATTACTTCACACCATATTTTGAAAAGTATGGTATCAATAATAGAATTAAAACGTGATTTTCTTGATACGCATTGATTACGAAAATATAATATGAATCTGAGATAATTTATCCCAATATCAAACTGGAATACAATGATCGTTTGGATTTATTTGATATACATTAGATTTCAGTTTGTAATTTATTTATGTAAATTAGCCCAAAAGTTAATTTATAAATTATTTATTTAATAATTTCAATCGGACCAGTAGTTTAGAAGAAATAAAGCTTTAGCATACAGAGAGACAAACGACTTGTCCTATAAGGATACCGTGTTTTATTTATTTATAATGGACTCATTCTTGACCTCAATCTAGCCCAAGGACATAAATGAGATCTACGGTGAGACAAGTCTATCCAGTAGGAACCTACTAAGTGTTGCTTTAAATAGATCTCGGTTATACGTACTCGGGAATTAAACGCCGGCGGGGAGTTTCGCTTCTTGGCAGTGCGCAGTAATAAAGATTCCTCTTCTTAATACAAAATGCTTAAAAATCCATTTGGTCCCTGGCACCCTAAGATGGGATCGAACCCATCACCTTTCGTTCGATTGCTCTAACCGCTGAGCTACCCAAGAAAATATGAATGTGAATGCGAAATTAAACAATTAAAATAAAGATCCCTATTAAAGTTTACTCTATGCGTAAAAGGCGCATTTTACAGATTAAACTGTTATAAAAGTAGAGTAAGCACTGTATAAGAATATCTTGTTATATAGATAAATTATTGAACAATCTAAATTAACCAAGCATCAATGATCGGTGTTTATTGGGAAGATTTCTAATTAATCAGAAATGTTGTTATTAGGTGGTCATCTCTTTCAGCGTTTGGTATGCTCCTCCATGCCAACAGAGCGAAACAGATTGCTGGTTATCCGCTCTACTGAGTGTCACTGGAATTCGCCTTATATGGTGATGTACTGTCTAGACCGCACCTTAGTATTGTTAATATAAATAGGGCGTGGGAAAAGAGTACCTAACCTATATTTTAAGCTGATGAATGTCGGTACGTAAAATTATATTTATATTTAGCTAGTTGTTTTTTTCTGCGATTTCGCCCCCGTAAATTATAGCCCATTTCGCCCGTATATGATTTATACGTAGGTGATGAATTTTCATGTTTGGATCGGTATTTGCGAAGATTACCCCCTTCAAACAAATAAACTAAGATATAATTTTCCTCTTTATAATATTGTATAGATAGAGTGGTACCAAACGTAAGTTCAAATGAATTGGTTAAATATTATATTGATTTGTTGTACTTATGTCATATTAATAAGTATGCTGTTAAAATAGGTTTGGATGGTAAATAACACGATAACAAACCTTCATGGTAATTTAAACGAACCCAAATTCGATGGAGTTTTTTCTTAATTACATAGGTCTCACAGTATGGTTACCTTCCGGCTCCATCATCAGATTACCTATGTTATTATTATTTCTTTGTCAATGCAAGTGCAAAATTCAAAAACTTGCAACATTTAATCAACACGAACTCTGCTAGTTAATAGAAAAAAGTTTAAAAAAAAGTTGTTAATATGATTTATAGTTAATATATATCTTCATCATTAGCCTATTAATGCATGACAGACCACGCGGGCCCAATATGGATTGGAAGGTTTTAACGATTGCAGATACAACTAGTGCACGAAGGAGCTCGAGATAATAAATTTCTGGTCAACCATCCTATGACAGGCCCTGCAGAATGACGGCACAAACAAGGAAGGATTTTCGTGCATCTGTTTTTACTCGTAAACCATTACGATTATTGTAAAACTTCTTATAGGTAATCGTAATCGTTGACACTTCATACCTATTACATATATCATATTTAAGTATAATTACGAGAAGAAATGAACTAAATGGTGAAAAATGAGTAACAATTAAGAGAATAGAAAAAAATAGCGAATTTTAGTGGTAACCACGTTGTGGTGTTTTTTATATAGAGAAAATGTGATGATAACCAAAATTGCGCACCCCAGGGGTGGGACCGCCCAATTCCCTAGTCTTTGATACTAATTGGATGAATCAAAAGTGTTTTCAATAGGCTCATTTCATTGAAGAATATAGAAAATTATAAAATAGAACATAGAATGTTTGCATAAATAAATTCATACATAAGATAGGTATAACAAAGGTGGGCTTATCTGTACAACAGTATCAACCAACTAAGACGTTATGGGAGAGAGAAGTATTGTTTTGTTTTCATTAGATTTAAATATTTGTATTTCTCTTGTTATTGTTTTTTTCTAAATTTAGCAATACTGTAGATCGAATAAAATTATTACGCAAAAAAAAAAACAGAAAGATCAGAAGAATTAGAAACAAAACAGGGAATTTTGGTATAAAGTCCGTATTCGGAAGATGTTTTAAAGTAATTTGTTATTTCTTGAAGTATGATTTTTTTTCTCTGGAAATTAGTCCCTATTTAAAAAGCTGTTTATAACAAGACATTTTCTTGGTGTACACTATTTGACCTGCTGCAAAGTCAGGGTCGTTGCCGACCGTTTGTTCACGTCACACATTACATCATCCAACAATCTCACACGTTGTATTGGCAAAAAACAACGACATCATTTGTAATTATAGTAACTGCCGATTATATTATGAAATTTTACGGAATGAGTCAGCATGGGAAATAAATTAAATCTATATATATAAAAATGAATCGCAAAATGTGTTGGTAAGCGCATAACTCAACAACGCCTCGACCAATTTGGCCAAATCTTTTTTTAAAATGTTCGTTGAAGTTCAAGGATGGTTTTTACGGCGAGAAAAATTAGAATTATTGCTGGAAAAACCCTAAAAATAGCCCTTTTCTTTTTCCCATACAAATGATTTGTAACTAAAACGTAGTCAATTTGAGCTTTATTGGTATGGTATAAAGTTCATATTAAATTACAAGCACTCACTGTTGTCTAAGCAATGTAGGTGTGTTCCTAACGTCAAAGATCATATCTATCAAAACAATGTGCGTGTGTGCGTTGGAGCACAGAATACATAGTTGGAGGAGTTTAATGTCGCGTTCCGAAACTCGCGTTTCTTTTGTATTAGTTTCGGCACGCGAGATAAAATGCATCAGTTTCCACGTCATTACATGTATTGCCGGAACATTGATGAAAATACGCTCTGTAGTAGCAAAGCTGTTGGGTCCTAGATAGCTCATTGGTTAGAGCAGTCCCTGGATCGCGAATGGGTTCGAGTCCCATTCCGGGGTACAGGTAGATGGATTCTTCCAGCATTTTTCCTTGAGAATGTTTATATATTTTTTTAATTCGAATAGTTTACTTTTATAATGCTGTTGTGTGTAATGTGTTTTTATGATCATAAAAATCTCTTTTTTCTATATTTAATACTATTACTATTAATACATTGCAATAATAATTATGATTCACATGATTAACAATAAAGCGATTACTTACTTTTAAATCCTTATATATGTTTTATTTAATTATTTTTTATTCACAACGCCCTATCACCAGGGTGACGGTTCTGTTCAGGAGAATTTTTTTAAATACGTAGGCAAAAAAACTGCCACATTACAAATCTTTTTGACAGGACGAAGTCTGTCGGGTCAGCTAGTATCCTATAAATATTGAAATACAGAATTGTTCAATTATTATTTAAATA